GTGTACTAAGCAATAGGACTGGGCTGCTCTGAAGCTAGGACCATCAGACAGTGGGAAGGAAAGGGCTTTTTTGAAGCCACTAAATGAGGACTGTGCAGATTCTATATCTTACTGCAGCTCCATTGAACTTACTCCAGTCATACGCCAGTCCCAGAGCTGCACTATTATACACCCAGAAACAGGCAGGTCCTCGTGGCAGGCACTGCTGGCCCAAGCACATGAATGACAAATGCCCCCGGTGACTATGGGGGCACAGCAGTGGTGGGAGTGTGGCAGTGGTAAGTGGGAGCTCCTGTAGACGTCGCCAGTGCTGTTGGCAGTGGGGTGGTGGTGGGGGTGGCAAGCACCAGCCAGGGGTCAGCGACTACCCGCAGATGCTGCCGGCGGTGTCAGCAGCAGGGTGGCAAAAGGCGACTGCCCGCAGGCACCGCCAACAGTGTCAGTGGCACTTTTTTGTAGGGGGTGCATTGCCACACTCAGGGGGTGCGTGTACACCCCCAACGCGTTGCCCCTACTCAAGCATGTACAAAACCATTGCTGTTGTAGAAATGGCAAATACAGATTTTTGTGGTTATTGCCAGTCATCACCTTGGCCAACTTACTTAGCCCAGAGCTGTCCAACTGGTGGTCCATGAGGGGCCAACATGAGGCCTGCAGGCCCTGGCAGCTACCTCTCCTGCTGTTGCATGGAAGAGCAAGGCTCAGGGGTGTGCACCACCTCGGCAGCCCATGCAGTGTGGGGCAGAGTAGAGTGAGGAGGCCACATGCCACCAAGCACAGTCCACACAGTAAGGGAGTTCCCAGAGGAGCTGACCCCACACTGTGTAGCCTGCGTGGTGTGCAGCCTGATGTGCATGCTGGCACTACATGTGGCCCCTAGCTGCTTCAAAGTTGAACAACACTGTTGTCCTGTGGACCATTATTTTTCTTCTCCCTTCTAACCTCTTCAGCCATAGGCTCCATGAGGCAGGAAGCCCATAAAGCCATTAGAGAACCCCATAAAGCCACAGATGCTACCATCCACAAGCAATGACAATGACAGTTTTCTGCTCACATTCATGAAGGGAAAAAGTCCATGATCCTTGGACGTTTGGTTCAACTCACCCGTAGTGTTGTAATCATGGAGGGGTCTCGGAGACGGCCATCTTCATCTTTAAGATTATAGCCCTCTGGTCTTTTATCTCGTTCACTAACTTTCCATAGCTTCACAGTTTTATCTGATAGAGCAAATGAGAAGAGGATACAGTTATGCCTGACTGAACAGGTTTCCTAAAGAGGATTTCTGATAGAAATATTGATGTCACAAAAATTGGTTTAAATGTAAAAAGCCTATTTCCAGATCTTTGGCTTATTTGAAAGAGCTTTAACATGTAAAACGTCATCTTTAAAAGAAAAAAGGATCATATCATACTGCATATAAACACTTAAGTATTTTTACATGAACATTTGGTTTCCTTATGGAGCTAAGACCAGGGCTTCCCAGTTCAGTGGCCAGGGGCTGCACTGTGAGGATACATGGTGCCAGGCCTACATTGGTGTGGGCTTCTAGGTACTCCCCTGCTACCCTAGGCCTGTAGGTTCCCTCTAACTCCACTGCACTGGGCGCAGGGGCCCCAACTCCATCTTTGGCTCCTTGGATGCAGGCTTCCCTGCTGCACTGCACCGCACCAGCACCAACACACCATGCCATGGATTTCCCTGGCACTGGGGGCTGTTCAGCACTGCTCCAGCCCTTCACATGGGGCGGAGCAGGAAGCAAAACCAGAGGGAGGGGTTGTTCAGTGCCTCCTGCTGCTGCTTCTGCAGCCCGAGCACTGGGGAAGAGTGCAAACCTGTTGGAGATCCAGGGGGCTGAAAACTAACCCCTCAGGTCACAGGCCTTCAGTTGGACATCCCTGAATTAGGCAACTGCCAATGGTTTATTACAAGCTTAAGAAGATTGTCAAGCTAAAACAATCTGATTAATGGACAAATTATTTGACAAGTGATTTTCCAGGGCTCAGCTGCAGAGATTACAGCCTAGGGTCACATGGATCAGCATGTGGAATTTGGGATTTATCTTATACCTGCCACTAGAAACTCTACTATGGATGCTAGCCACAAGAGGACAGAGGGTTTTGACACTGCTCTGAGATTAAGTTTAACATCAGATTTTAGATCTCCCCCCCCAGTTGACCCAACCCCCACAGAGCTTTATTCCCCTGCTGATCCATCTATCTCTCTAGCAGAAAAGTTAATTGACTGAGGACCTCAGAGCTGGGAGTTTTCCCTTGGATAACAGCCATACAGCCTAAGTACTTTCTGGTATGATTTCCAAATTAAATTAGTTCAAATGCTCACAAAATTGAAAGTGTGATAAATTCTGTGGATGTACCACATTTCCTTATATTGTCCTTACTGGTTAATTTGTTTCTTTAAAAAAAAACTTATAATCCTATTACTACAAACACCCAGTACTAAGTAGCAAATCACAGAGAGTTACAGTCAGAAAATATCATTAAAAGAATCTATTCTGACTTCCGAGCCAACACAGGACATTTTTGCTCAGCAATTCCTGCACTGAATCCAATTGTCCTCTTACCAAAAGGGAGAGAGAGAGAGAGAGAGAATAATATTCACGAGAGCTGTATCTACCCACTCTCTGAATAATTATAGCAGCCACTAGAATAATCATTTACAGCAATGCTTGTGCAGTATCTGGACACCAATGTTTAGAGAACAAACAGTGCTCATTTGTGCATGAACTTTAAAAAACCTTGAATATAATGCATGTCAGGTTAAATGAGTTTTGTTTTTTGTCCATCGATGGGATATAATTCAAGCAGGAAATCCAGCAAGTACTATAATGAGATATATGGTAATAAGCGATTCAAAGTTACATATGAGCTAACTGTTTCATCTGAACTTTGAATGAGACAGATTGCACAGATTACAAAAATAGTCACAAGAACACCCCCAGATTGAAGTAAATCACATCTATAATTTACTCAAATGTCAGTTTTGACTTCCTTCTTCCACCGCCGTGAATAGAACTGACATTTATGATTGACTGAGAATCCAATCTAAATTCTCCTACTGCCACATTCCCTTGGCTTTATCACATGCTGGCATCCCATTTATCCTGTGCCATGAAGCCTTTTAGGTGAGAGCGCCCTAGGAACATGTGGTCTTTATTCTGACTAATGGTGTTTTCTTTTCCCTCTCCTGGCAGAGATTCTATCTGCAGTTCATCATCACTTCCAACAGCTTTTAAGCACAATCTTATCATTCATCTTAATTTTCTAATTTACGCTGTAATTCCAATTGACTGCCATTAATTTTGTTTTTATTAACCCATTTGACTTCAGGGGGTTTCAACGTATAATGTTAGTTTAACAGCAAGAACAAAAAGAAACAGAATAACATGGGAATATTTTAAAAAAGAATCATTTTGGTATCCTGGTAGCATATGAAGCACCATCCCAAATGGAAAGATAATATCCCTGTTAATCAAAAAACTATTTAAAAACTCAATTAACAGAACATTATACTCTATAATTAATCTTCATTCCATTTCAATGATTCTCCCCCCAAATGAGTTTAATAAGTCTTTGAATTTTATTAAAATGATCAATAGAGTAAATTCTATAATACAAAGTAAGTTGGTGATGGGAGATAATTAGACCCCTCCTTTTCCCCTGAAGTAATTAAGTCACATCCATCTTAAAGTCCCATTCATCCCAAGTAATATCCCTGGATCCTCCTGATATTTATCTGAACATAACATGAAGCTGCTCAGCTGAATGCAGCTGCAAATTGAAACAAATCAGCTGTAGTTTTTCTTTAAGAATAGAAAGATCAAGGATCCAAAAATATAATCATCACAAATAGGGAGAAAAGAAACTCCCTGTTAAGAGGTGAATGAACAGCTGTGAACTGACTGCAAAACCCTGTGTGCTGGATATACACTCAAAACACGCAATAGCAAGTTCTGGCTGGGCTCCTGTTTCCCCTTTTTAAATGAGTGTTTTACAATGGACGGATTCTGGATTTTCTATATGAGACTGTACCAGAAGAAATATTTTCCTAAGTATGAGTCGCTTCAAGCCATAGGCACCACCGTATTGATAATCCCTCTGACAGGTCCCCAGGGGTGAGTAAGGAAAGAGAAAATGCATCCAGAAACAGACAAATGGTCTACAGGGGTTCTGCTCTGGTTTGGTTTGTTGTTCGTCTTTAAGCTCTTCTGCCCCGCAGGTTAAAAGAGGGCTGGGATTGGGATACTGTGCCTGTCCACAGGCCAGATTCTGATATCAGGCATACCAGTAAAAACCCAGAGTAAGGACTCTAATACCACTGAGACCAGAATGTGGCCTTTTGAATGAAACTAATTCCCATCCTGCATATCCCACGATCACTTAAATCAGGCTTCTTGAGCTCCTCTTGTTTTACAGGTCTGCTTTATGTGGATATGAAGGGCATGATCTTGAGGTATGTTGTACCACTGTGGCTCTAGCTGACGTCAGCGAGACCTACATGTGCACAGCCTCTCTCAGGTAATGGTTGTACTATTTTAGGTAACTCACTTTCTCCAGAATCCCAAGGTCACTTGGGGTCAGATTCTGAACCCTTCATTCTTGAAGGATGTTATTACAATGGGGCCATTCCAGGCTGAGCAAGGGCTGCAATATGTGGCCCCTTTGATTTAAATTACCCCCCAAAAAAGATGCAAATGGTTCTCTTGAGGGCAATAGTTCCTATTACACCTGAGCACTTACATCATGGGCAAAAGACTGTTTTGAAGGAAATGGGAGTGACATACCTAAATGCAAGGCTCCTGGCCCAGACAACCAACACAAATAGTAGGTTTGACTCAGTATTAATTTAGTTTTTGATAGTCAGGGATCCAGGTTTTCCAATCCTTTAAAAGAGAAAAATGTGGGAAACCGCAGGTTACCCCTTGTAGGCTGGCAGCCTGCAAGGGGCTGCCTGGGGCTGGGGGGAGCGGGCGAGGGCAACTGGAGGCAGGGGGTGCCACATGCATGTGCATGCACACATGCATGTGCCAGCCAAGCAGCGGTGGAGAGCAGCTCCTGCAGCTCTGTCCAGGTAAGTCTGTGGGAGTGGGGGAGAGGGGCACAGGTGACATGGGGAGGCAGGGAAGCACAGGCGGTGCAGCGGAGGGGTGAGGAGGCCAAGATGATGCGGCAGGGGGAGGGTACATGCCTTTTGAGATTTCTGTGCCCACAGCGGGGCACAGGGCTGCAGTCAAGCAGGAGGAAGTGACATGCTGCCATGGTCATCAAGGTGAGGTGCAGCAATGCGGAGTTGTACCCCTGCTACTGCTGGGTGGTCAGGGAGCACCTCAGCTTGGCAGCCATAGTGGTGCAGTGCTTCCTCCTGCACCAGGTCCTGCCTGCTGGGCCATGGAGGCAGCTCCTGTCTGGTGCTGGTCCAGCCCGGCTGCAGCCTCGCACCCTGCTGTGGGCACAGAAATCTTGGTGGCACATGGACCCCCCCACAATGTTGCCTATGTCCACACTCCACCCGCCCCACACTCCCACCCCATTGCCCACACACTGTGGGGCTGGGAGTGAGAGGCAGTGGCATGGCTGGGGGGCTGTGGCTTGGGAGTGAGGGGCAATGGCATGGGCAGAGGAAGAGCACTGGCATATCAGGGCTGCTCAGTGCCACAAAGCCCTGGGGGGACAGCTGCAGGTGAACGAAGGAGGCAGGGGGAGCTCTGATTTTGTATGATTAATAAACAAAATCAAATGCCAAAATATATAGGTATTTAGAATTTATTTTATTATAATGATTGAGGCACTGGTAGGCTTCCAAATTGCTTTAAAAAAATAAAATTTGTGTTCAACTGATACGTGCACATATATATACACATATATAGGCAGTTCTCAGACTTACAACACAATTGGTTCCTGAAACCTGTGTCTTAAGTTGAAACACTGTAACTCAGAACCAATTTTCCCATAGGAAACAATGTTATAAATGGGGGATTGGCTCCTGAACCAAGGCCTAATACCCCATTTTCACCAAAAATGATGTAGAATTGTGTACTCAATCAATTATAGATGAGTAATATAGCTACATTAACGTATTTATATTGTAAATAGCAATCATATTGATTTGGAAGGACTTCGTTGAGGTGGCTTTGCTGGACTTTTTGAAGGGCTCTTGGCTGGAGTCTTTTCAGGAGTCTTGGCTGCAGGTTTTTCTGGAGTCTTGTCTGCTTTCTTAAAGAAAGTGTTCAAGGGAGTATGGACAGATGTTCTCCAGGGAGATGGGCAACACAGTAAACTCTTTCACTGGCATGGCATTGAATCAAGTGTCATAAAGTTGAAACTGATGTCAGAAAGTTGAAACTGGGTGTCAATTTATAAACGTTGTAAGTGTGAAACGTTGCAACTCAAAATGTAAGTTGAGGACTGCCTGTATACACACATATATACATATACATATGTGTTTCATTTTATAATTGTGGAAAAACATGGATTATGAGGCGTTTTAAAATCGGAGAATTTGGGATTTTTAAACAGAGAAAACCAGGATCCATGTTGATCACTGACAAAAACAGATACAAAGTAGAACTATGGTGAACCTTGGTTACTGATCTCAGATTTCTCTTTCTATTTCTCTGTACAAATTGTTCTCTAGAATCTCTGGGTTGAAAGGCCCTCTAGCCGTCATCCTGCGAAATGCTGAGCACTTCTATTTTTCAATGAAACTTCAAAAGTTGTTACCTATGCTCCAAACCTCCCAGAATCAAGTCCTAAATTTTCTTTTCTGTTGGTCAAAATGAAGAACTGGAAAACAAGAAAACTGGTTTCTAAATTTCATGTCTGTCCCTGCATCGCTGTGTGACACCAGCCAATGCTCCTTCCTTCAATTCTGCCATCTGTAAAATGGGAATAATAGTTGTCTCTCTCTGGGATTGTGTGAATTGATTTTTTCCCCACTAGCAATAGCCTCTGGGACCCAAGGAGGAAAGACAAAAATGATCTTTCATTATAATAATACATACCATTGGTGGAAAGAAGGAAGTAGGCTGCATTTTGCTGAGGGAGCCATCGTATCTTATTGATCTTCTCCTCTATCTCTAAACTCTTCAGGTAATCGAACTCGGGTTCATGGCTCTGGAATGTGCTGTAAACATTGTATTCTCCCCTTCGATGGGGCTGATTTTTACTCTGTGGGAGAGAAGGGAAAAAATACTTATATAGATATAGATATAAGGCAGAGAAAGAGAGAGGACGAGCAAATTTTCTATCGATTCTTTTGTTCTCCAAGGATTGTTAAAAGACAGTGAATGTCTGATTACGTTGACGTGTTACAGTTTAGATATCAAAGCCGACACAAGAGATCTTTCCCACACAATGTATTCTCCTCATGTGTCAGTTTTCCTGCATGCTGATGATATGAAGCAGGAAATGCTGCCTTTGTGTTGTTTTGTTTCAAGAATGAATGAAGTCCTCTCTATCATTTATCTCCAAGACAAATTTGTGAGGCAAGATAATGGTTCAGATAGAGGACCAAGTCCCGTTTGACTCCCTCACACAAACAGCCCTATAGAAACCACTGGGATTACTGTGCTGACGTAAGGCAAGCAGAATTACAAATATTGAGCATAAATAGCTGTGTAAGACTGAATCCTGTACAAGACTGCTCAGTGTAAAGTCCTGCCAGGTGCTGAAAATCCTGGGAAGTACTGGGTATTCACTGACATCAGAGAAATGCATAGGTGTTCAGCACCTTGCAGTATACATAGAAACAATTTTGAGAGCAAGACGATGTTTATACATCTCTTTGGACTATAAAATTTGTCATGGCTAAACCTCAGAGATCCCACTCCACCTTAAGACAGTACATTTACAAGAGGGAGATTTAATACCATTCCAGATCAGACTGTGAAGTACACATGAGATGTGCCAGACCAATTAACATCAGACAGCCTTGGAAGCAGAGAGGAAAAAAAATTCCCGGTCATGGGGGGAAGGACTGTGACAGTTTTCATTTGCCAACTACATTTTGTGCTTCTTGGATCAAGAGCGTGTACAGGGATCTTTAATTTTGGCTAAATATCTGGTGCAAATGTGGGTTCCCGGAAATTAATGACAAATACTACATAGCTACTTAAAAGCTATCAATGAGGCCTTTATCTAAAGAAAGGTATGTGCCAGTGCTAACCTATTATTTTGATCTGTTTGTGCTTTGAACAGATGTATTTATTGGAAATGATTTATGAGAAATTTTAGTGCTCCTAACAGTGCAAGTCCAGTGCCTGCCCCAAGGCTGAGAGCATACTACAGTGGAGGCAGACCCTAAGCAAACTCCACCCGTCATCCCAGCTCTGCAAATGTATCCTAAGTCTTCATCTATAGCAAAAGTAACTCTTGTGGGGAGTCATGGCCAATGGAACCAAATTATGATGAGTCTCTTGGCACACACTAGGCTAAGACCAGCAAACTCAGTTCACAGGTGAGCTAGATTGTGAATTTAGGTCCTGGAGAAGGAAAACTGGTGTGCACGGTCCTCTTGCACTGCTCTGCATCCCTCCCTTAGGGCGTAATGTGGTCAGTATCTCTGGGCACGTTACACATTCACTTCATGAAATTTCCTCTGAATGTCACTTCAGGAGGCCAAAGAAAAAGGTGTTGTCCCACTCTAACTGCTTTTCTTTGGGTCATTTTCTGTGATTTCCTGCTTGCCTGATCTGCACCCTCCCAACCCACTGGGAGGAATAGGAAGGCCAGAGCAGGAGCAAGTAGACCGGCATTTGGTTATGTTGCTGGATACTAGTGGAAATACTGCCAGACAGAGTGGGAATCACGCCACATAAAGCAGCTGATCTTCGTTGCCCACACTCACATCCTTCCCGTTTCTATCTCACTGAGCCCCAACCACGCATAACTGACAGAGAGGGACTGGCCATGCCAGAGTCAGTGCTTTGCCCCAAGAGAGTTTTCTGCCCCATTGGGTTTTTTCCCCATGTCCCTCCTCACCTCAAAGCAATGGGGAGGAGAGAAGAGGAGTTTAAGGCCTTATATACTTTATTGGTGTTGTGGTTAGGGGACAAAACAAAAAGGAAATGGCAAATATCACTTCAAAATACCTATGGGCTCTTGAAACATGTATGAAGTTGTAAGGCTGTGCTGTAATCTCATACAAGTGCCAATCAGGTGCACCGCCACTGACAGGTATGGCTTTATATCAATAACACAGAAGAAAACCGAGATCAGAAGGAAGCCTATGATGTTTACAGAAATCTAACATGTCAATGCAAATAGGCGCAAAATCAAAGCAAGGCTGTGAACACAAGAAGCTTCGTGAACTTGCCAAAATTGCATGAAAGGAACAAGGTTCAAAGAGCATCACTTAGTTTGGCAAAATGAAACAATTAGGGCCACCAGAGTTTCTAATGCTGCAGCTTGATCCATTTTAATTCAGGTTCCGATGAAAGAAAAAAAGGATGCAGAAAATGCAATATTTGAAAGGTGCCATATGAGATGGAATCTGGTCCTGTTTATGTTAATGGCCCGTCTGTGGTTCGGAGTTTGCTAGGAGAGAACGGAGGTTAAGAGTGACACATAAGGATTAGGAAACAGCAGGAAATTTCTCTTAAAAGGATAAAATGGGCATTTTGCATTCACCAGCACTTACCTCCTGCTCACGTTGAAATATTACAACCCGACCCCCCTTGTCCCCTGTCGCTAGTAATTCTCCTGTGTGGTTGAATTCTACTGTAGAGATAATGTCAGCTGAAAAGAAGAAGACAAAGGCAATTTAAGTAACTGCAAAGACTGGCTTTTCATAGGCAACTAAAAGGCACCAATCCCTGTTCAGTTAAGGCAACATATATTGTCAATGCTTTGTCTTCCCAATAAAATTTCCAGAGTCCTTATATTATTTTCTGTTGTCCACAAGCATCACAGAATTTCAGAACACAATACACTGAGAATGGGGCATAAAACTAACACCTGAAATAAGCACTGAATTTCCAGGTCATTAAACACTAGATTCCCATCTGGATATTTTGTGTCTCCATTGTGGTGTGGCCCAAATCAACACACGCCACAAATTCTGGGAAAGTTTAGCTCTGGAGTCATATACAGACCTTGGGCTTCTGTCCATTTCTACTATTTACACGCAAGAAAGAGCTGCCCAAGTATTCTTTGTAGGCAAAGGCAAGTTTCATTTCTGTCCTTGCTAAATAGACATATTTTCTTTCCTTGGCTATCTCCGCTTCCCTCTGGGGGACCAATGTGTGTTTCCACCTCTGCAGAGTCAAAACAGATATAATCCAGGGGAACTGGCTGGGCATGACCACTGTCTCCCTTTCAAGCCCTCACAGCAAACAGCCTTAGACCCCTTTTTCACTAGAGAGCCCCATTTTATATGTAAGACTAAGGAAACAAAACCAAACAACCTCTCCTCCCATGTCCCACTGCAAGTGCCTCCACTCCAAAGCCATGTAGCCCCCAACCCTCCTCTCAGATTGTTCCCTTAGACTGCACTGTCAGGAAGTCTGTGGACAAGGAAACAGGATCAACACTATAACGAGGTGAAGGGGACAAGCAGATGAGAAACGAGGAAATAGACAGGAACCTTTGGTTTAAAAGGGGGTAACCCTATGGGAATGCTACACTTGAAAGGTTTTCCCCAGTGGTGTTTACCCCTGGGGCAAAACAGGCAGGAGAACTGCTGATGATTGGGTTTATTAGGCTTACTTTGAGAAAAATGTCAGGGGTTAATTCTACTGCAATTATTGCTCTACTGGCGCTCACTAGTTGTTTCCGAGTGCAGCATTCAGCAAATGCAAAGCAATGTAGGGGGGGAAAGGAACGTGGCTCCTCAAACACAGCAGTACTGCTGGCTAAAAGGATTGATTTGAAATTGGAAAGCACTTAGTTTTAGCATCCAGATCATGTGTGGTAAGACTGGAACATGAATTTCTCTTTTCATCCTTCATTTATGTAATCTCTCTGTGTCTATGTACATACATATGCATGGCGCACATATACTCTTCCCCCTCCTAAACACATACACTTACACCCTACTTGTGTATATATGCATGTACACAGTGCATAGACACACTCAGACACCGTCTGAATGCTTAGAGGTTAAATATAGGTTTAAATGCTGTTCTGAATAAGGATATATTTCTGAACCTTTTGAATAGACTGTAAATACCATAATGGCTTCTCTCATTTTTTTAAATGTATGTTTATGGGAAAAAAGAAAAAACATCTAAAATAAATGAGTCAGCACTGAATTGGACCCCCTACATTTTTAATACTCTATCTCAATGTATATAAGGAAGCTGGTGCATGGATGAGAGAGAGAGAGAGAGGGAGATTTGCTGCAAATGCTGGTTATTGTCTACATTTGTTACAATATGAATGAAGATCCCACCCAGCAAAAATTAACCCTCCCCCCAGCAAGTCCTGGAAAACTGTTTTGAAAGCTACTATAACAGGATGCCTGACTCCTGAGTCTGTTTTCCCTGTCCATGGTTCTTGCTTCCTCCATCATGTTAACATGGTGCTCAGTGATCCCAAGTTGCATTAGTCTTTCCTTTACTCTTTTTCTCAAACTGGTACCTTTACATCCTCAAACTGCATCTGTCCTTTTCCAGTCAGTAGGCCTAATTCTTCCAGACTGTGAAACCTCAGTGCCAAAGACAGAAAAAAAATTGTCCCATTCTAAACAACATTGGTGTTATTTACCCATTTTGCTAGAGTCTGATGGTCATTTTTCCTCATCTTCTGCCTCGATCCAACTGTTGCCCATTGACCTAACCTTATCCTGGGAAGTGAGGACTTCCTACACTCTCATTTCTAATGCTCCTCTTGGCTGGGTGGCAAGGGATGATTCTTCTCCCCAGACAGCATAATGTTCATATCTGCCATGTATTAAAGCTCCTACTGGTGTACACCGAAAACAGTCAGTCTAGGATGCCCTTCCCTATTCATCCCCAAAAAACATGTTCTTACAAAAGCTAGTGACATTCTGCTTCACAGGGACCTGCAAATTTGCAGTAGCTCTAACTCATGTGCTTTGCCCAAAACTGTCATTAGGTAGTGTCTAACTATACGTTAATAGCTTAATCTGGATTGAAGGCAGGAGGTATTTTGAGATCAGAGAACAGTCATTGTTACCATCAGTCTCAGAGTAACTTCACTATCCCAACCTCTTACAAATGGCCCATGGACAAAGGTCAAGTTTGGTATTGCACCCGGTCACAATAGGCAGTCCCGATAGACTCACCAGTTAACATCATAACTTCTGCCTCTCACACTTTGTGTTACATTCTCCTGTGCCCCCTCCCTCCCAGATATGAAGAGAGATCTGAACATTATTAATGCAGGGAAGACTATGATCTTTGAGTAACAATCAGGAAAATTGCCTTCCAGGATGGAACGAGACTGGGCACACATGGCCATCTACAATTTATTCATAGTGTCCATTGCTTTATGTCTTCAAAGGGACATCTCTGTTCACTCTTTAGATCCAATCTCTCCCTGAAAATGTGCAAGGAGCCCACCATGTCTGCTGAGCTGTGAAAATCCAGATGGCAGCAGGCAGGTGAGTAATGAACTCCATGCTGCTTCTATTAATATTCGCACATCTTCCTCACATTGCCCCATCTCTCCAACATTAAGCATATTTGTAATGACATGTGAACGCGTTCTGAAGTTTGTCTTAATTCATTTATAACATTTGGTTGCTGTGAACAGATTTAGGGAGACAATTTCATTGCAGACAGAGACAGCTCTGCAAGCAAAGAAACCCAAGAGGATTAATGGTAAACACCCCATCCCTGTGAACAAACAGAAATGTCATGTGTGGCAGGGAGGTTGGACTGGGCTATCACTGAACTGGAAAGCTCTAAGGTGAAGCACTTCTATTCCATCACATGGAGCCCTTCTGCTTCAGATAGGATTTGCATGTAGTAAAATCTGCCAGAAAGGTTTTAGCCATCTGCCACTAACTTTCACAAAAAGGGCTGAACAACTGTGTAGAAGGGCCAAATATTCCTCTCAGTTACACCAATCTAAAGCCAGGCTAACTCCACTGAAGTTGTTAGATAAAAACAACATTTATTGTGAGCATTACCCCTTCCTAGTAAAACATTTCATGAATAGATTCCAATTTCCTTCAAATGCGTCTGCTATTCCTATCGTGAATGCCTCAGATAAATCATTAGAGCCTGTGGGCTGCTGGCCAATTATTATCTCCATTTCACAGATGAGGAACTGAGGGACAGAGAGAGATTTAGACCTAATCTGCACGTATTTTATGTAGTATAACTATGTGAGCAAGGGTGGGAGATTGTTCGCCAATACAATACCTAACAATACAATAACTTGCTGCAGTTACACAGGTGTAAAAATGCCTTTTCCTAGTGTAACTTACTCCCTGTCCCCCATAGGAAAAGCTATATGAAATCCTTATCCCAGTATAATTGTGTCTGACTTATAAGAGTTGTAACCACTTCATTCTAAAATAGTTGAAGGAGCAGAACTTAAAATTCACAACTATAAAACATATATCCCAAGACAAATTTAGTACCTAATGCCCCAAAATTTTAGGTGTTCATACTGGAGTTTTGTCCACATCCACTCTAGAAAGTTGTGTGCAGACAAGCACATTAGTGCAAATTAATCAGTGGGAGTTAGACACCGATATACCTTTAAGAACCTAGGCCGTTGTCAAAGAGGAAGCCTGTGGAAGAACCAGAAACTGAATCCATGTCTCTCAGGCCCAATCCCATGTGTTAATTGCAAAACCACTCTCTCTCCACCCCTGTACACTCCCTGAAACATCTTTTAATAGGACTCTTCCCTGATGATAAATCTGTAATTTATTATCATATTTAACTTTGAGATTGTAAGGGCCTGGATGACTCTAGGAAGGGATAAATATGATACACTGCCTTTGACCTCTAGACCTATAGCTCAAATTAAACCTGGACTGGAAGTGAACAGACTCTTCAGTGACCCATCACTTCTTTTCAGCATGTAGTTTCACCCTGCATGGCACCTTAAACCAAACAATAAATTTACTGCCAGATTACTTGCACATGGGCAACATGACCTCCATGAACTCCCTCTTTAGTGCTTCTCTCATTATTATTACTTAGTTTTGAAAGAAAGAAACCAGAGTCAAGCCTGGTTTGGACTTGTCAAAGATATATGGAGGACCTAGAAGGGAAGAGAGAGGAGCAGTAATGCCAAGAATGTCCAGGCTGCTTGAATCTGTGCAGCAGACTGTGACGCTGATTTACACCACATGTCCTTATCCACCTTTAGGTTACTTTCCATACTATGCCTTGTATAGATGCTAGCAGTTACCAGGAAGTGCAACTGTCCTGGAAAAGTCCGACCTCTCAAGCTTGTCCCTTGGAGATCTAAAAGGGCTATGAAAGTTGAATCAAAGGGGATAAATGAATAACCGTAAATAGTGATGAAGTGATTAATAATGATATAAAAAGTCCGGATTTTTGCCTCTGTCTTGTCTGGGAGGGCTGCTTGCAGATTATGCATTCAGATAAGTGTACTGTGCCCTGCCCGTGGACTGCCTCGTAGCCTCCAACTCTTGCATGTGTAGATAGGGCTGAGAGACCCAAATGATGCAGGCTACAGTTGAACTGGTTAACATTCCCTGTTATCCACAGGCTTTAGTGATGATCCAGCTGGTGTGTATGTGCATGTATCAGTCTCTCATGTGCATTTCTAGCACTAATTCAAGATACTGCCGGAACTGCCCCCACTGCCTTCACAAACTTAAGCATCTAAACAAAACTGCTGCTAAACACCAGCTCTCTGACCTGCCACAATGCTGTTATTTAGCCTTGACTTTATAATAAAGAGGACAGGGATCAATTGTTCTTTACATCCACTGGGATAGGCCAAGAAATAAATGGGCTGGAATTTGTATCCGGAAGATTAGCGTTAGATATTAGCAAGATTTTTCTACCTACAAGGGCAGAGTGGAAGCTTTATAATTGGAAATGTTAAGTGCAGGTTAGATGAGCATTTATTGAAGGTGGTTTAGGTAGAGATTATTTTGGCTGGAGCAAGGGAGTTGAATCAGATAACCTCTTTAGGTCCCTTCCAGCCCTATTGTTCTACCATTTGGAGACCTTTAGCAGCCTCTTGTTTGAGGGGAACCACGTTCAGCAGTGCAGAAGTGAAACACACAAAGCCCCAGTGCACAAAACATCCAGCTTATGCAGTGTGCTTTCCGAACGATGAGATTATTGACATAAAGCTTCTAATTACTTCACAAAAGGACAAAGGAAATGATGCTGCAATTCCAAAGTACAGGGCAGATATTTTTAGAACTCCACTAAATGCTTGCAGTGAGACCCTAAGCAAATTACACCTGGTTTCAGGTTTTATCACAAATTTAAAATCAACCTGGGTGTACTGAAAAATTTGAGGACCTTCTAGAACTGACACCCAATTTGGGATAGCAAATAAAGGGATCCAGTACCTGATCCAATATTCATCAAGTAAAACTGAAAGATTCCCTTCCAATTCAACCTGCCACTTTAATTACAAATCTCAACTCAGCTATTAACAGGGCTTCTATATTCCTGTCTCAGGAAAAGGTAGGAACCTCTAATTTGCATCTTTGGACAAGAATATTGGATACACTCAGTGACCAACAGTTTCTCTTCACTTTGAAATTTTGGGTTCATTCACACCCACAAACCCAGAACAAGAGTTGGTTAGGGAAGCCTGGCAAACATATGGGAAAAATGCGAGGAAGGTGTCTGCACATAACAGTTACATGTTTCTCACATCTCGAACTTGATCATACCCAGAGCCAGATCTGAATTTCGCAGATGAAGACTGAACTCACCCATACTTTGACAAGTTTTTATCTGGAGCCAAACCTGGATGCATACCTTGGGCTTGGCCCAAATAAGAACACCGCTTTTCATTTATGGCATTTTCCTGAGTGCCATATGTTTTAAGCTTCCAGTTTAAATAACATTTTATGACTAACAATTTCCTAATGGAATTGCTTCTCATGTAGTAGCTAGGATGCATTAAAATGGAGGCAAGAAACTTAAACCTAGCATTTGTTTGGGATTGTTTCAGATGAGAGCTATTTGGTAGCAAAGTCTGAACTAGGTCCATACCCACTGCAAATTCCATTAATCAGCTCATTCTCTTGGAAGAAGTCATGTGCCATCTCTCTTTGCCAGTGAAAGCACTGGCCTGGAACACAGTAACAGAGGAATTCTATACCAGATCAGGCCTCAGGAGATAAGGGTTCGCTTCCCGGCTTAGCCACATATTTCCTCTGAGACTTCGAGCAAATCAAATCTCCCCGTGTCTCAGTTTCTCAGCTGTAAAAATGAGGATAATGCTTCCCTGCCTAACAAAACACTGAATGGTAAGATTCATTAATATAAAGACAGACACTGATCTTTTGAGACCACACCATCATAACATATAGGATTGCTTGTCAACCCAAGACTGGCATGAAACCAACCACAAGGCTGTTTAACAACAGAAGTATGGATTAGAGATTACAGCAGAGAGGTAAGTGACCTAAGGCTTGATTCTCTTTCTATAGGATAATGGGATGACGTCAATGAGAGATGCTTATATAGAGCTTGTGCCAATACCCCGTGAACTCAACAGGTGTCTTTCTATTTCTGTCTCTTCTCATCTCTACTGTGGGTTCCTTACTGTGATAAGCATCTCTTATCACATCAAACGTAAGCTATTGGTCTTCATGTTCAAGACCCTTCATAGCTTAGCCTACTGCCTGTCATCTCTCATTTTGTAATCAGCCCAGACCTTTTAGACCTAGGTCAAAACTTAACAAACCTTGTGGGCACTGGTAGCTCAGCACCTTTGGGTTATGTCTTTACTGACAAAAAATGCTTTTCCAAAGGATAACTAATACGTATTAGCTATTTCTCTATAAAAGAGAGGGGACAAAAATGGTAAACTAGGCATGATCAACAACAGGTGGTGGATATTGTGTTGACTTTACCTACATTTCTGAGGATAAATCCTACCTTTTTCCTAAATCCTAAGGCATTTGCTATTACACCATAAGAAAAGACAAAAGAAAAGGAAAGAACCAGCAAGACCTCACTACACTTGTTAGTACTCCATACTCTGTGGTATCTGCCTATTCAGGGTTGAGTCCATTTCAAGATCCTGGTTCTCTTATCTTTAAAGGTCTAATGGGTAAAAAGAAACTGCTCCTCATACCTCTTCTCTCTGGCAGCTGATAGAAATGCTGAGGGTTGATGGACATTATCTTTAGGCTGCTGGAACTAGGCCTGGATCAAGCTTAGCTCAGTTCTTGTCACTTCCAGGGTGCAATGAAAGAGAGATCCCTGGAAAAAACTCTTCTTTAAAATGAAATATAAGGAGACCACAGCTACAGAAAATAAACCACCTACATTGTACTCCTTTTTAGTGTATAGAGAAGGAAACGGAGGTTTTGTTCTTGCTGCATTTATCTAGCTGCACTCAGATAATACACTAAGTGACAGAAATGCTTGCACAGTAATTAGGATAAAAAGGAGATTTGAGCCCAGGCCTACAAGG